TCTTACATCAATCTGTGATCAAAATCCTACCACCTAACTCTTCAAAACCAGGCTGGTGCTTGCTAGTGGATGGTTACCCGACGAAGTTACCTGGAGTTCTAGTGAGAAGTCGTGACCAGAAGGGTACAGTAGGTCGAGTGTGAGGATAAATACTCGCCACAGATGACACTGGCTGCTGTCAGTTGCTCTATATCATGAGTTAGCAGAACCCGGAATTTATGGGTTGGCTAATGGACTGGCTCCCAGTGGCTGGTGAATGGTCTACGAGACAGCTCGCCTTGTAACCAAAAGATCCTAGGTTCAAACCCCTGCAGTAGGTGCCTACTGATGAAGAGCCCAAAAAATTAGGACGAAACAGCAACCTGAAGTGATGGACTTCTTCGCAGAATTCTACGTTGAAACCAGTCAGTCAGTCAGTCAATCGGAATATCTATCTGCCTCATTCTCAATATTGTCCAACTTCTAGTGTTATAAGATATTGATCGACTTTGATCACCTCAATATTCATATATATTATCCTGTTGATACTTTTTTTATTCTTCCATAATTACGAATCATTCTCGTTGCTAATACCAGCATAAATTAAAAAATAACAACGATAATTGAACAATGAATATTCTTACTAACTACTTCTTCTTCATCTGCGTTCTACATTTGATATAACCAGAATAATTAAAGAAATAATTTCTTAATTGACAATATTAAAGTTTACTCTTTTAAATTACACCGGATCAATCAATAGTATGGATACGTGACTATTGTTCATTAAGGCATCATCAGTAAAACAGAGAGAGAGATATATTATGCATTATTACATAACACTAAAGTGTTTGAATGTATCAAAATAAATAAAGGGAAGTACTAGAGAATTTATGAATTTAAAAGTTCAACAGCCGTTGCTCTAGGAACTTGATTTTTCGTGCTCTCCCAGTATGGCTAAGTAAAGGTGTAGTAAAAACTGTCACCAACAGTTTGATATTAGATAATCTGGTCCAAGCCGGCCAGCCGCAAAGGTGGCAGTCAAAAATCCTTCTCTGTCATCTTTCGGGTCTGTCTGTCTGTTTTCAACATAGAACTTTGCACATATGTGCGGCAGTTTAAGTCGCCACACTCCCTCCTTGTAGCACACAAAGCAAGAGAAGAAATGCATAATATAGACAGTAAACAGAGATGTGAGACAAAGGAATAGTAATAACAAAGAACGATATAGTTTCATTGCAAATAATGAGTCAAAAGGAGTGGATGCATCTGCGCCAGCCATTGAGAAACATTTTGAGCCATGTCACCAATTGTTTCCAACCATTGGTTCTTACCGTCCCGAGGACCCCAACCAGGAAGCCGGTCTACACCTTCCTACGTGGCTTAGACTAACTGTTGTGGATTTCATTGACTGGTGCCATGTTTTGGTTTGACTGCTGCTAGCTCTTTTCCAGCCTGGCCCCATATCACCTAACATTGCCCATTGTCGAGGAAGGCGATGTCTAGTTATGCGTAACACATGTCCTAACCATCTCAGTCGATGTAATTTCACAACATCGTCGACTGATTTCCCCTCATTACCTAGCACTCGACGCCTAACCCAAAATATTTCTCACCTTATTATACCACTTCACACGAGATATAGAACGCAGACACCTATGATCAAAGACAGCTAATCTTTTCATGTCTTCCACTCTCAATCGCCAGGTCTCACAGCCATAAAGGAGGACGGAGCGGACTGATGAGCAGTACACTCACCCTTTGGTGAACAACCAGCTGGATATCACGTTTACTAGGCCAGAGACGGCGTAAACTGGCGTATGCGAACCTAGCCCTCTATATTCGTGCTGATATTTCGTCAGAGATCAACCCGCTGCCGTTGGCCGGTGCAACTTCCTACATAAGTGAAGCGGTCAACGTGCTCTACCACTTTACCCCCTATTTCTAAACTAGGAGTCAGCGTAGTCCAGTCCTGTAGCATCATCTTACATTTGGCGGGATCAAATCGCATGCCAAATATTCGTGGTAGACTCTGCATTTTGTCAGCGTCCTCGCCTAGAAGGACTATGTCATCTGAATATTCTAAGTCAGCGAGATTATTACCTGGTGGTAGCAAGTCAATCCCTGAGTCTCTTAAGTGAGTTAAGGTTAAATCTACTAGTACATCTATGATGAAAATGAATAGAAATGGGCATCCCTGACGGACGACACCACTAGTCGTCATCACTTCAGATGACAACTCGCCAAAAGCCCTCGCCTGGCTGCATGAGTTCGAGTAGAGTGAGTGCCTTGATCAGTGCAATGTATTTTCTCGGCATTCCCTTTACAGCCCAACATCGCCAGAGAACCTCTCGGTCAAGAGAATCGAATGCCGCCTTTAGGTCAAGAAATATAATGATTGTTGGACGCCGGTAAGAATGCCTATTTCTTCTAGAATCTGTCGAAGTGTGAAGATATGATGATCAATACACTCTCTTCCTGGTCTAAAGCCCGTCTCTCTGGTTCTCTCGTGTTTGTGTCTCCCGAGCAGCACTTTGTCTACGCAATATTATTGAGCCTAGGACTTTAGATACCACCATATTAGTCAACCTAATCCCTCTGTGATTATCACAAGAAGACTTATCTCCCTTCTTGTATATCGGGATGATCAGTGACTTACACCAACCCGATGGGACTTCCTCTGATTCCAGACGCTGTCTAGAACCTCACTTAATGCAGACAGTAAACTGCCTCCACCGTACTTAAATACCTCTGGAGTCAATAAGTCAGGTCCCGCTGCTTTGCCTTGCTTCAGATTAGTGACAGCTTTAGTAACCTCAGTTAAGGACGAAGGACCTGTGTCTATCTCCCATTCAGGGAGGTGTTGGATGTTCGGCAGGTTAAGTGTGGCTGTAGGCCAATTAAACTGCTCCTCATAGTGTTCTTTCCAGCGTTCCAGTCGTCTATCCTGTCAGCTAATTATGGTACCATTTTTCTCCAAGATTGTTTCACACTTATCATTTGCCTTTTGCCACCTGTTTCCCTGATAAGCCTGAATAGTTGTCTGGTGTTGCCAGTCGCCGATGCCTTTTCCATCTCTTTCGCTTTTGTCGCCCACCATTGTTCACGGTCCTAACGAAGACTTTTTGTTAATCTTCGTTTAAGTACCTTTCGCTCTTCATCATAATCGGAGCTCGCTGGAATCAGTCTTCTTGCATCAATCAATTCGGATGAGTCGGTAGAGATCCAATGGCTTTTACTAATTTTAGGTTTTAGTTTATTAACAGCTTTCACAGCTGTGTCTACAGCTAACTGTATGTTGTGCCAGGCTACCTCAGAGGAAGTCCTGCTGTCAACCTCAGAAACTCGTTTCGCTCTTTCTTCCTTAAATAAGGACTCAGTGTGTCTCGATCTAGTTGGGGACGTAACTGTTTCGCTGCCGTCAATTTCTTATGTTCATTTAGTCGTAAGCATAAACGTGCGCGAACCAGAGCGTGATCAGAGTCTACGCACGTGTTCCAGAAGGAGCGACAGTTTTCTACTGACCCTAGCCAACGATACCCTACGGCTATGTGGTCTATCTGAGTCCAGCGTTGATTCGGTGATGGAGGTCGCCAGGTTACACAATGTTTCTCTTTGTGCCTAAAGTTAATGCTGACTAGGAACAGATGATTATCTGAGCAAAACTGTAGAAGACGATCACCGTTGTGGGTTCGTCGGCAGGGAACTCCATACGTACCACCTACATACTTCTCAGTCTGGCACAACTTCCCTACTTGGGCATTGAAGTCGCCTGCTAAAACAACTATATCTGAACGTTTTGCTTTTTGCAGCAAATTAGACAGTTTCAGGTAGAAGTCATCTTTTAATACATCCGAACTGCAGTCTGTTGGGGCGTAAGCGGAGACTACGAAAAGGCAACGACGGGTAGCGCCGTCTTTCCTTCTTTTTACGGACCCATTCAGACGGACCGCACACACACGACTATCTACTGGGATCCAGTCAAGAAGTGATTTTTCCACCCTAACACTCAGTGCTACCCCTACACCTGCGAGTCCTCGTGAGCTAGCTGAGGGGTCTCCCGACACCCTTAAAGTGAATTTCGTAGATTCACCTTGTTGACCGGGTGAGGCCAAGTGAATGACCACACTCCTCGGGTCTTGTATGCGTGTCTCCGAAACACAACATACATCCATGGCTCTAGATTCCAGATTTCTTGCTAGTGATGCCTGTTGTCCTATTTGGCAGAGGGTCCTGACGTTAAAAGCTCCTATATGAAGTTGGCGGCGTGGCTTTAAAAGGCTATCTGTGGTGCTTTTATGGCTCTCATCGTTGTTTGTGGTCGCAGAGTGAAGTGAAGATGACTCACTAGCCTGAAGAATAGTGCTAACTGTAGTAGAGAAGCAAGATAAGGAAGATGATGTGAGTAAGGGAGAGTGATGTTCAGGTAAGCTTCGTGTGCTTTTGGAAGTGTGTAGGCGATTGTTACTCCCCGGCTGCCCTCACCGCGGAAGTTGATTGAGTCTTCGGGTACCTGAAACAGAGAAAAGGTTAGTGTTGCATGACCGCGGAGCCCAGGGGACAACTGCTTGAGACCGGTCACACACGGCCTGTTTCTTGTTTGTTCTTTTTTGTTTGATGTGTCTCAGTAGCATATTTATCACTTCTACCCTGTGACACGGCAGCAGGAAGCGCGGTCGTTGTTAATCCGGGCTCCGACCGATCCGGCATGATATTTTGTGAATTTGTTTGAATCATAGTATTGGATTGGGTAGCTGCTTTTTGTCTAACAGCTATCCAAACAACCTTTCTGGCATGGTAGGACCTACAGGAACCTAAGTTCCAGCCAGTGTAGCTCGTTGGGTCATTGCGATATGCAAGCCCGACCACCACGTCAAGGTAGAAGCTATCGGTCAGGCAACCTTATCGTACAAATATCTATAATCAAAGACAGATAACCAAGCGTTTCATATCTTCCACTTCCAACAGCCGTGCCACTCACAGATATAAAGAAGATCGTGGTGGGACTCGAGCCCGTGACGCATTGCTTACATACACATACACACACCAAGATCTTAAGCTCTAAGCAGCCATATACGTATAGGGAACGTTAAACAGCATTAAGAGAAAGCCAATTTCACAAGATAATCAATCGTATTTATTTATTCGTATTTATACCATGCACACAAATAAAACATAAAACGCTGGAATACACAGACTACAAGTTATGCTTTCATCATCATCATCACGAACATCAGCAGGACATATTTCACAAAAACGATTTCAGCCTTACCAATCAATCAATCAATCACAAACCAACAACGAGTAACTCCACAACAGCGACACCAACAGTGACAACAACAACAACAATGGGAATAGTGACAATAAAAGAATCTGAGATCGAGAGATAGACAGACAGAGGGTAACCCCTCAAAGGAAAACAAACAAAATCTATATCGTTTCCATAGAAACAAGTCAAAGAGAAGAACGAAAATGAGGGAGGGAGGGAGAAGAATAAACACCACTGAATATATATCACACATGCATATTATAGAGAAATATCTGTAGATATTATTATTATTATCTAACTGACTAACGTGGAAATAAAAATAAAAGAAAATGTACATACTACTAAAATATGAAGTTGAAGAACTAATAGAATACACGGAAGTAATTGGGGGGAATCACACAAATTACAAGTCAGCGGCATACCTAAAAGCATATAGGTATCTTTGTATGTATGTGTGAGTGTGTGTGTGTGTGGATACTTGATTGCACTGAAGGGAGTAAAATAAAAGATCATATTATTATCATTATTATTATTAACAAGGATCATGAAGACTATTCATAGAGATTGTACACAATGAACTACGGTGGTGGTGAGTAGGAACATTGTTGTGAGAAGAAGAAGAAGACGAAGAATTCATTCCAGATGTTGTAGGTGATGTTACCATGACAACAGTTTCATCAGTCATTGATAAACGCGGTAGAATGTAACAATCTCGACCGGTAGGATCACAATCAGCCATAATTTCATGAAGTCTACAAAACAAATAATGAAATGAAAATATATGTTTCTTTTTTATTCAAAAGTTAAGTAATTTTAAACTAATTTTTAAACTTTATTGAAACTCAGAGTAATTTTAATAGATGGTGACTTTTTTTATGCAGCCAATATCATCTATCTGTCTGCCTGTTTTCGACATAGAACTTTGCACCGATGTGCGGCAGTTCAACTCGCCACACTCCCTCCATGTAGCACACAAAGCAAGAGAAGAAAGTAGGAGAAATGCATAATATAAACAGTAAACAGAGGTGAGAGACAAAGGAATAGTAATAACGAAGAACAAAACAGTTTCATTGGAAATCATAAGTCACAAGGAGTGGATGCATCTGCGCCAGCCATTGAGAACGATTTTGAGCCATGTCACCTATTGTTTCCAGCCATTGCTTTTTACCGTCCCGAAGACTCCCACCAGCCAGTCAGGAAGTCCACACCTTCCTATGTGGCTTAAAGTGTTGTGGATTTCATTGACTAGTGACATGTTATGGTTTGACCGCCGCTAGCTCTTTACCAACCTGACCCTATGTCAGCTAACATTGCCGGTCGAGGAAGGCGATGACTAGGCATACGTAACACATGTCCTAACCATCTCAATCGATGTAGCTTCACAACATCGTCGATTGATTTCCTCTCCTTACCTAGCACTCGACTGATGCCTAACATCAATATTTCACACCTTATTATACCACTTCACACGAGATATAGAACGCAGGCACCTATGATCAAAGACAGCTAGCCACGCTTTTCATGTCTTCCATTCTCAATGGCCAGGTCTCACTGCCATAAAGGAGGACGGAGCGGACTGATGAGCAGTACACACGCCCTTTGGTCGATAGTCGGATATCACGTCTATTAGACCAGAGACAGCGTAAACTGGCATATGCGATACTAGCCCTCTGTATTCGTCCTGAGATTTCGTCAGCGATCAACCCGTTGGGGCTGATGGTGCTTCTCAAGTAAGTGAAGCGGTCAACGTGCTCTACCACTTCACTTCCTATTTCTAAACTAGGAATCAGTGAAGTCCAGTCCTGTAACATCATCTTACATTTGACAGTAGGAGCGAATCGCATACCAAACATACGAAGATTGCTGCTCAAGGTGTTCAGAAGACTCTGCATTTTGTCAGCGTCTTAGCCTAGAAGGACTATATCGTCTGCATATTCTAAGTCAACGAGATTATTCTCTGGTAGCAAGTCAATCCCCGAGTCTCTGAAGTGAGTTAGGGTTAAGTCCATTAGTACCAGTAGTACGTTGACCACATTGCAAACTTGACTGACTGATAAAACTCAGTCTGTACCGAACAAAGGCCTAGACACGCTACACTAGTCCAACTGAAGTACACATACACTAATCAGTTAATGCATTCTATGGCGCAGATGAATCTTTATCAAAGCCCGGATGGGGGAAGCAAGATATGACAATCATTACTTTAAATATGAAGATCTAGAACAGTACTCAGTCAGTAGTTAGAACAAGACTCAAATTTTCAAAAAAAAATAAGAAGTCAGGGTTTTTTATAGGGTTTAAAGGCTTGATGCGCTTGTCACAACAAGGCTAGCGCAGATTTTCATCAACAGCTGCCTTCATTGCCTGCATATTGATGATAAGATAGCTGATCGGAAACGCTAAGCAATCAGGAACAGATGCTTCAGCACGGAGATGTCTCTTCAAGAATTTCATTTTATACATTTGAACAGGGAAAGAACAAGAACATTGGTGCAGAATAATCACTGAAACAGATTCTGATGTTATGTGTAACAGGGATATGCAATTGCAGTTAGACAATAAAATGTATCGCCAAGTTGTTGCTGTGGCAATTGGGAGTCCATTGGGTTCTGTATTAGCAGATAGGAGGCTCGTTCGGTATATTCCAACTTACGCCGCTTCCGGCCTAGTAGACGTGATATCCGGCTGTCAACCAAAGGGTGTGTGTACTGCCCAGCAGTCTGCCCCATGCTGCTTTATGGCTGTGAGACATGGACATTGAAAGTGCAAGATACAAAGAGGCTAGTTGTCTTTGATCATAGATGTCTGCGTTCTATCTCCCGTGTTAAGTGGTAGAATAAGGTGAGCAAAATTGAGGAGGCTACTGATCAAAATCTGCAGTGTCCTGTTGGAAATACTTTTTGTGACGCTCTGGCCAAGTTTCTGATCCATATAGAAGAGATGACTGACTTCACGTTGGTATGCTGAGCGAGTGCAGAAGATTTCCGAACTGACTTCAGATTGACGAAGGTATACCATACTTTTCCGACTCTGGTATTGACAAGCCAGGTGCCTTTAGTTCAAACGACACTTCCTATATAAGTGAAGTAAGTAATCTCTTTCAAGTTTACTCCGTTAATAGTGATTCGTGCTTACTCTCGCTGTTGGCTGGTAATCATCTTCATCACCTCTTTCTTCTCCATGTCCACTTGAAGTCTACTCTTTGCTGCTTCTTCAGCTAGCAATTCTGCATATATCAGGACAGCCTTACTACGTTTTCATAAAAGTGATCATAAGCTACTCTTTTTAGAGCTGATCATGCTATCTATTTGCTCAAACCTCGATAAATAGAGACAGATACAAATGGGAAAGGAAAATCAAACGAACACTAGAAGCAAACTTCTGATCCTACCTGCTGTCAACTACTTTACACCATATCGCATAGTCCTAAAATGACGTTAATTGACACTCCCATAATTTTAACCCAATTACCTCCCACACATTCATATACAACACGCAGACAAGGGGGTTTATGGATTAATTTGACAGATAACTTTTTTCCAACCTTATCTTTATCTAGTCGGTGGCACAGGGATTAGGACTCTCGCCGACCATGCACATGGTCCGGGGTTCGATCCCCTGCCGACGCACAACTGATATCTATGGTCAGCCTGCAAAATTTGGGCTACCGATATCATATGCAGAAAATTCCATACTTGTACCAAAAATACTGTGTGGTTTCAAGCTATAATAAAAATAAAAATAAAATAGTAAATCCTGCTATTGGTAGATGGTGGTATCTCGGCATTTGAAATGCATAACCTAGTAAACTCAGTTGGTGAAGGACTGTGGAGTCTCTTAGTCGATGGAATCAAACGCCATCTTCAGATCAAGAAATATGGCAAGTTCTAAACCCGGTAGGTATGTCTATGTTCCAGAATCTTTTGAAGGGTGAAGATGAGATCACGATACCATCTACCAGGTCTAGAGTCTGTTTGCTTTTCACAGTTCCGTTCCTCTCAAACACCAACTGGTCTAAGCGTACCGAACCGAGAATTTTATGTGTTATGTTAGTCAAGGTAGACCGCTTACGATTTCCATATGGACCATAGTCGTAGAACACTTCAAAGACAACAACTTCCTATTTTTAACCTTTGATTAGCGCGCATGTAGGTGGACAGTTTTGTAGCACGTTGATCAAAATACCGTGTGAAACTACTTGATTTGATGAAAAGGTTTCATGGGATGTGTAAGTTGTGAAGTGTTCTAATCAGTGATTGTACTGATGGACATGACCTAACTTAAAATAATGCAATATGAATTAGCAAAAAAGGGTAAAGGCAGCACAAAATGATAGCAGTACACATGACTTTTAAGCGACAGAAGAGTGAGATTCTGTGACCGGCTAATATTTAAAATTAAGTGTGCAGGATGCTAGGCCTAGAAAAAAACAGTGAAATGAAGTCATGCAAATATAAACAAATTACCTAATGCCTTAAAACTCTTCTTAACTTAATCAGAAAAAGTCTCCTTACCAGTCTTTTAAGAAAGTAAATAATACCTCAAATATTAAGTGATACATAAACACAAAATGAAAACGGTTATTTAAACATACCTGCTTTTCTCTAGACAACGAGAAGCATCTTCCTTAGCTTTTTCAACCCTTTCTGAGAGTTCTTTAAAATAAAGACTGGCGGAAGCTATTTGTAATGCATCTTCATTTTCTGTTTCTATTTTTTTCTTGACAGGACACAACTCTATTGCGTTTGTTCCACTAAAACTGGTTGATTCTGATTGAGATTTCACAGGAATCTTGAGTGTAGTTATGTTAGAGATGTCAGAACTCCATAAGCGGTTTATCCATCTTAAACGTTGCACCTTACCAAAAGTAATGATGATAATAATATCACTTACTGTTGTACCATTTTGAACTGCAATTGAGACAAGAGTATCTCCAGGTTTAACTGTGTATAACTTGTGAGCATTTTGAGGTGTAGTTGTAGATTCTAGTGTGCCATATTGTCTTTTAGGCCCACACGACAATATAGACGAACCTTCAGACATAAGACATAGACGGAATGTGAAGGTTGACGCCAGTTATGACCTTGACGGTCAAAAGGACGTACGCCAGTTAACAACCTTCACGGTTCGATTAAATAAATTTGATAATCTTCAAGGATGAGATATTAGAATTTCATTTATTATAAGTCATTTATAGGTATTAGTAAACTTGATATAAACCCGAAAATAAATTCCTAGGGCCACCACGAAATTCGTAACTTTTTTAATTATATGATTGATAAAAGTAGTATAGAGAAAAACACCTGGTATTGAACTGCATTCGTGTATTAAACACAGGACTAAAATTAGCAGTTTCATATCGTCACTGGCAAGCAAAACTGGAGAAGCGGTTGGATCAGATGAAGCGAAGACGGAAAACCTTTCTGAATACTTTTGGGATACATTCACGTCTGGTGATAGAATTCAGGGGTTTAGTGAGATCCAGTATGCAGTATCGCTTTACGACGTTGCCAGCGTAAGCCAAATCAGTTTATTTGTGCTCGCTTCTTGATTGAAAGGTGGAGGTTTCTGGTCTTCGATATACTTCTGCATTGTTTGCCCCGCCACTCGACTGTCGTAGCTTTAGTTGACACCAAAAGGAGTGGTGCTGGGATTGGTTGTGTGGTTTTTAGTGTACGATGTGTTTATACCATGTCGCCACCGTTAATGGAATTGATCCTTGCACAGTTGCTGGTAGGGAGCTTCAGGGGCGGCAAACTCAGAGTGGACAGAAAATTGAGCTCACTGTGTAACGACAGAAGGCAAGAGTCAGGCAACAGATCATTTATTAAGGAAATCAACGCATATTTATATATTTTCATGTACATTACTATGGATATTTAAGCAAACAAACACAGTCTTCCGATTGGTTGTTTCTCACGTAAAGTTAATCTTTCATCTATTTGTGACTGTTTCTTGAATGTCAAATCCTCTATATGTTAGCTGCATCCACCTACGCAAAGTATGCTGTGGTCGGGTTTGAATCAATCTTTGTACACATTTTCTCACGACAAATCTTGGGAACGTAAATATTGACGTAAATTACTGTCTACCAATTTGGCTAGTAGACAGCTCTCACCACAACTGGAATCTCTGCTCTCTGGTCGCCTATTATTCGTGGATTGTCATGAGGAAGTCCACAAGTACCTAATGGAAGAATGTCTTTATTTGGATAATTCTGGTCATTTGTAATCCTACAGGTGGTAGCTAAGTCACGTATCAGCCGACAGTAGCTAAGTGTGATAACACCTAATTTCTTTAGCCGTTCATCATATGGTTTCTTTTTCGGGGAAACATCAAACGTTTTGTCCAAAATCTTCGAACTCTTTAGGAAAGGCTGCTGTCTCCTCCAAGTAATGGAGAGCAACGATACTGTACAATTCAAGGTGTTGTCTGGCACATGTTTGCAAAACTTCAGAAACAGCTGAGGGTTGAACACACCAAAGTGTCTATGCTTAAAGTGTATAACCCTCGTTACATCTCCAGTATAATTCAAGTCTGTGTCAATTTTTCCGTTAGAACTAGACCCAAGCGGCTCTCCAATGTTGTGCAGGACAAGTTTTGGTTGCAAATGGTGTAACTTGCATTCTGCAGCCTACGGATAAGCAATTCCACCACTGCGCACCTTTTCGGGTTGTAAGCCATACCACTGACTATTATCCAGTCTTACAGAATTTTTAGGTCTGCCTGTAGCCTACCGGAGTCTTCCGAGCACTTTATTGTCCTAAAATTCTCACATCGTCAGCGTGAAGAAGAGCCGGACGGCTTAGACGACATGGCAGGTCGCTGATGAAAGTCCAAAGCATCAGTGGTCCTGGAATACGATCATGCATTTCTCCTGACACCAAACTGTGTTAGAATGATTGGACACGGTTGATCTTGATGCAGAGTTTCCTTCCATCTAGGTAGTCCTCTAACCGCAACAGGACCGCGCCACTAGCAAACGCCTGACTTATTTGATGTATGAGGAGTTCATGGTGAACTGCACTGAATAACTTTCCGAAGCCATGGAAGGTCACGTGAACTGTAACATTCATATCCCAGCCTGATGTTCAATAATCCCAAGGTGACAGTAAGTCTGTCACACAGGATCTGGCTCTCCTGAAACCATTTCGCGCTCCATGGAGTATGCTAGTCCTGTTGAGGTCTCACCTGGTAAGATCATCAATCGGACACTCTAGTACTCCTGACATCACTGGTATTAGCGCTACTGGTGTATAACACCCTGAAGATAGGAAGAAGGATGATTCTCCTGCACGTTCTTGGCAGCTTCCTGAATCCAGTGAGTGTTGGAGTCGATTACAAAATGGCCTACGGAGAGCTTCATTGCACTGTTTCGGAACGAAAGGCCTGGTGTCGTCACAACCTGTGAGTTCTGCAACCTCTCTAGTACCATTGCCTGATTTCTCAGGAGCGTATGCACTGGGTTTCTTCTTGTCTGTCAGAGACTGAGCTGAGTGCTTCAGCCATTTCCAGTGAGATATCGACCATTTAGATCTGCTATAGCACATGCCTCCTTGTTATCAGGTCCACTCTCTGGTATAAATCAGCACAGGTCTATGCGGTTTGACAAAAGATTTCTGGTAAGATTTGCCTGGAATGACCTCCTGTCACTCCTGACTTTTGCGTAACGTAGGCCTATAAGTTCTAGATATGACTCGTGGTCAGTCTGACTCTTGAAGAGTCTGAAGGAGGGCCAAACTTTCCGCTTTGCTAGCAGAATACGCTGCGCACCTCTCTTCAGCGGTGAGGGTTGTTTCTTAGCTTGAAGAGTGACTAGAGGGGTGGCATCTGAGACTACTGTGTGGATAGTTCCCTTTACCAATTTGCTGGTACTTCCTCTACAGATAACTTGGCCCAGTCTGTGGACTATTCTGCGTCAAACAAAAGTCTCCGGATTTCGGCGTGCTCGACTTCGTTATAACCCAGACAGGGTCATGCAGAATCTTACTGTAATCATTCACCAAGAACGAGACCAATCAATATAACCGTAGGGCCAATGCTAAATACTAAAATAATCCAGTTTTGATAACTTACCACTAGGGCTGCACGTAGTGTTGCCTCAAGTATTCTCAGTCAATCCTGCCATCGGCTCTGAAACCTCCTTAACTGTGGGAAATCGCGCAGTAGTTGTTAAACTACTACCTAAATTGAACTCAGGTAAATTGCCAGGTCCTGCGGACTCAAACCTTCACTGTTAGTCTCGTTGGCGGATATAATATACATTCCACTTACAGAGATTTTCAAAATATTTCTGATTCAGGCTAGGCTACCCAGGGACTGGAAGGACTTAGCCGCAGGCCCACCTCCAAAGAGAGGAACACTCCACCAGCATCTAATTACCGGCCAGTAATTCCGGTATGTATTACAGCAAAGATATTAGAAACAGTTACAAGGGGTGGGCCATTAGTCTATATGGAGAAACATGGACTATTGACGGATAAACGGCATGGATTCCGACCAGAACGAAAACTAAGTATAGGACAGGGATAAAAACCTGCTGCTGGACGTAGCTTATACCACCTCCAATAAGGCATCGATATAACGTTCCACTTGGGTCTCTTCAGTAGACCAAAAGGTTTTGGATTAGAGCAGTCCCTGTATAAGTGGTTTAGGGGATATCTAATGGACTAAAGGCAAAAAGTTAGGGTTAATGATATCCTGTCAGTGAGCAAAACTGTATCAAGTGGAGCACCTCAGAGAACCGCGCCTGACCCTTTACTACACCTGCTATGAGTATATGAAATTCCGAAAACCATTAACTCATCTTCGCTATTATTTGCGGATGATATCAGTTTCTGGAAAGCTGTAAATAATAATGATGATAAGGCAGTCTTACGAAATTATTTATGTAAATTAACTAAATGGCCTAGTCTCCAGAGTATGGAAAATAATTCCAGAGAAAGCGCGGTAATATACTTAGGTCAGGGATCTTACACATCTTATTCTTCGGGTACAGAACTCCTCGGTGTTAAGGGTAAAAGGACATAAGAATTATTGTCAGCCATGATTTCAAAACAACTGTATATTTCAATGCAACTGCAGCTTAGGCTTATTAAAAGCCTTTCACTTCCTCTAGAATACCACCGTAAGGTCACCGGGAAAAGTTGCTTAAATTCCAGGCCAATTAAATATATGTAGAGCTTAGATTCTCTCATAGATTTGAACTGCTTATTCGGTGAAGTACCTTAGCTCCATTGCTAGACGCCTTCAAGGAGAAATTCAATTTCTGTGGAGATACATTAAGTAAGATCTAACACAGGCCACGACAGCCTGCTATACCTATTATTTGAATCTGAATTAGACTATGAAAATTTGTCTTGGTGGTAATTTAGGGGCGATTACAAGGCATATCTCCTTTATGAGATGGCGCCACCTGCTTTATTTCGCCGATTACTGCATGGTTTAGTTGCTTCGAGTCAAGGCTAGTTTGCTTTGCTTCGTCCGGAGTAGTGAAGTCAAGATAGAAATCAAGTCCCTACTTAAATGTGCATAGAAGGAGTGTTTAACATGAAGATCAGCGTCATCTTTGTGGGATATCATATATCAGATTTGTTTCTTCAGGCTAATTGCTTCTCAGAGAGGTAACGCTGCTTTAGCTTTGGTAACTTCTCAATGGGTCACCTCATTGCTTGTCTGTCGAAACCATACCTGGCCCCATGGGAAATGGCTATATCGAAAACTGGACTTAGTCAACGTGACAACGCTGCTGTCGCGGCTAACCCTTTCACCCAACGGTCGTGGTTGACACGAGAGATAGTAATGAGAGTGTAAAGACCAATCTTAAAGAATTATACTGGAGACATTTAAATGGCTGAATAGGCAGGGCAAGCAGAAAACTAAGTGAAGAAGCAGTCTGTGGGTGCCAAAATCGATTTTAGTTGAAACCTAGGGATATGGCAGGGTGCGTCAGGGCTACATATACTTTTGATTGGAGCTACCACATGGCACCACACGATTATCCAGTCTCCAGTGAAGACTTTCAACCGATGGTGCAGTGGTCACAGGTGGTAATGCTTTCAGATGACGAAGACAGGTGCAGCACATTTGAGTGTCTACTATATGATGAATAACACATTTCGTCA